GATCAGTCCTTAGAATCTCAGAGAGCCAAACAAAATATGATTTCTAACTACAACAGATCAATACCAGAATGTAATGTTAATAAGAACAGAATGAATTCATAGGGCTTAGCGAGCCAGACGAGTTTCTATGTAAATGAGGGGCTGTCTTCCGGTGATTCTTTAAGGCCCGGTTTTGGGTGTCATAGCAGTGGGGGGTGTCTATTCGGTAGCCTATCTCTGGGGGCACTGGGGGCCGGCAGGGGGCCAGTCTCTTGGGGAGCTCTGTCTCTGGGGGGCTCTGTCTCTGGGGGCACTGGGGGCTGGCAGGTGGGGGCCGTGTCTCTGGGGTCACTGGGGGCTGGCAGGGGGCCTGCCTCTGGGGTGCGGGTGGGCAGCCGTCCCGGGGCCTCTCACCCAGCGTGCAGGAACAGAGACAGCCAGAGCCGGTAGAACTGATCCGGGACCTCGGGGTTGAGGAACGGCAGCAGCCCGCACACCTTGTTCAGGCAGTGTACCTGGTGGGCCGGCGTGGCGGTCAGGCCCGCGGGCTGCAGGGAACGCAGGAGCCCCGGCCGTTCCCTGCCGCCTCGCCTCACCTGCGAGCAGAGCGTTGCTTCTTCGTGGAAGTAGCCCTGCATGAATTCACAGTACTCCCGCGTGGTGATCTCGCAGCTGGGGACAGGCGGCGAGGGCACATCGCGTCACCTCGCCCGCAGCCCCGTGTGGGACCAGCAGGCGTCGCTGGCAGAGACCTCAGCCCGGAGGCCCCCCGCCCTCTCCCTCATGCTGTGGGCTGCCCCCATGGGGCACCGGGGAGCAGCGTCGGAGGGTACTGGCTCGGCGCAGGACGGGGTGCGGCAGCATGGGAAGCGTGGCCCTGGCGAGGGGCACCGCCGGCTCACCTGCCCTTGGTGCCGATGCAGCAGGGGCGGCCCTTGATCTCACAGTCCATGTGCGGGAAGCTGGTGTGGTTGCTCTCGGCCTGCTCCGTGCAGATCTGCAGAGGGGCAGACGCCGACGGGAGTGGGGGCCCGGAGGGCGGGACAGCTCCCCACCTCTGCCCTTCTCAGACCTCTCTCTGCCCAGGGGCGCCCCCTCACCGGCCACTTGGTGATATCGTCAGGCCAGATGTGGGCACCGCTGGAGGCCGGTTCCTCGCAGGTCCTGGGAGGCAGAGGCCAGACTGGGCAAAGTGAGGGGCCGTGGCACCCCCAGGGTCGCACCCACCTGCCACTGACGGGCGGGGCCGCACGAGCCCCTACCTGGGGTCCTGGTGGCACACAGCCCCTGACGTCCGCTTCTGGCCCAGGTCAGACTTGTCCAGGGGGGGCCCTGTGTCTTCCTGCCACTTGATAAAAGTGGCCAAAGTCTCCTGGAAGGGAGATGGTGATGTCACCCTTGCTGGAGCGGGCACGGGACCCTCCAGCACAGGGCCTCTTCCCACTGAGACCCCAGCTGGGTGCCCGGCTGGGGAGCCCGGGTGAGAGGGCCCGGCGCACCGAGCAGTCCTTGCGCAGGGTCTGGATGCAGCCCGAGTGGTCGTTCTGGACGCAGCAGCCCGAGTCCCGCTCCAGGTCTCGCTCCCGCCGCACCAGCCGCTCGATCTGCTGGTCCTTCCGGATGCACGGCGAGAACTTGGCCCCCAGGTGGATCAGGTCGATCTGGGGGGGGCGGGGGTGAGCTCCGGCCCCAGAGTGGGGAGGGGTCCTCTCCCCACCTCCGCCCCCCTGCTGACTGGCCCGGCTGGGGACCACTCCGGTCTCAGATGAGCCCCCCCAGCTCCCCTCCCCGCCCGCCCTCACCGAGCTGGGGGGGTCTCAGATGAGCCCCCCCCAGCTCCCCTCCCCGCCCGCCCTCACCGAGCTGGGGCCGATCCAGAAGTTCTCCTGCTGGATGTACTTGACACTCTCGTACACACCTTTGTTACGCAGCACCTGCACGTGGGCGGGGCGAGGGGCGGTGTCAGCCAGGCACAGGCCCCGGGCAGGACAGGGGCACTCGGGCAGGGACCAAGCCCCCAGCACCTCCTGCCTGGGCCCAGGTTGTTGTCACAGGAGAGATTCGGCACCCATAGCACTGAAGCCCCTTGGGGGAGGCTGGGATCCCCCCCCAGGGAGGGGGAGCCCCGCTCACCAGCTGGGTGGTGACGTGCTGCGCGAAGCCAATGGGCGCGGTGCCGTAGGTGCAGATCACCAGCAGCGTGATGATGATGTGGACGAAGGTCAGCCAGTAGGTGAAGTAGGGCCTGCGGACAGGGCCGGCGGGCAGCACTCAGGTCCTGCCCCGGCTCCCGCTCTCACACAACTCATCTTTCCCCGGAACAAGGCGGAGAGGCCCCTTGGTGCACCCCGCTCCCTGTTTAAACCCCCGGCGGCTCCCTCCTGCCTGGGGATGCAGGCCCAGGTCAGCTCCCTCTCGCGGGCTGCCCGGCCTGGCTGTGCTCGCTCGCGTCTCTGGCCTCGTTGCCCTCCTGTGCGCTTGCAGCCCCTGGACCGCGCCAGGGCACCGGCACATGCCAGGGGCACCTTTCCCACCGCCCCTCGCCCAGCTGACGTCTGCTCTCCCTGATCACCCAGCCCGTGTCCGGTCGCTCGGACGCCCATCATTGCTTGAGCTTTTTGGGATTTGGGATCCAGCATCCACGGAGGGGCCGCCCACTGCGGGACTCACCCCTCCCCAGTCGTGCGGCCGCTCCGTTGTGGTGGTCCCAGCTTTTCAAACACTTTTATCTAGTTGTTTACATGTTTTAGAAGCAGAGAGCCAGCGCCCATCCACTGGGTCACTCCTCAAATGCCCACGACAGCCGGGGCTGGGCCAAGACAAAGCCAGGAGCCAGGAACCCAACCCGTCTCCCAGAGACCCACTGCCTGCTACTCCTCGGGTACACCTTAGCAGGAAGCTGGAATCGGGAGTGAAGCTGGGACTTGAACCCAGGCACTGCTGTGGCCACTCCACTGGCCTTTCAGCTGCTGGGCCAAATGCCTGCCCCTCACTGCCCCAGCCTGTCCCTGGACGCACTCTGTGGCCCTGCTCCCTTCTCCTGGGGCCTGCACGTGGTGGCGCTCCGTGCTTTGCTGGTGACTGCCACCTGGGAGTGTGGCCGGGGACGCAGGCGCAGAAGCAGGAGGGAAAGAGGCAGCAAGCGCCCGAGGCCGTTCCCGGATCACACGCGTGTTCCCGAGGCCGTTCCCGGATCACACGCGTGTTCCCGAGGCCGTTCCCGGATCACACGCGTGTTCCCGAGGCCGTTCCCGGATCACACGCGTGTTCCCGAGGCCGTTCCCGGATCACACGCGTGTTCCCGAGGCCATTCCTGGATCACACGCGTGCGCCCACGGACAGGGCTCACCTGTGTGCTTGTCACTGACCCCCTGACCCAGGAGAGGCTCAAAGGGCCGGCTGAGCAAGGGGGCGGTGCGGGAGGCCCGGGGAAGCGGAGGCTCTGGTCCCCGGGGTCCCGCTGTCCTCACCGGTGGCTGTCGAAGCTCTCCAGCTGCCGCTGCACGGTGCTGCTGATGCTGCGCCGGTAGCTGCGGTTCAGCCAGTTGCCCACCACGCCCAGCCCGTAGTGCCGCTTCTTCCGGTCGAAGGCAAAGTGCTTCACCGTGGACGCGATGCGCCGGCCCCGCTTGGTCACGGGGCCCTGGGCTCGGCCGTACTCCTTCCTGGGGGGGACAGCGGCTCTCAGCCAGGCAGCAGCTGGTGCACTGGCCCTGGCAAGCGTGGGGGCTGGGCTGAGACAACGGGGCGGGGGGGCGGCGGGGGAGCCAGCCCAGCACTCACAGAGGGATCTGCACCCTCTCCGGGGACACCGGGGAGGCCGAGCGAGGGCCGGCGCGGAAGTAGTTGGCAGAGAGTGGGGGAGACTCGAACACATCATCGGGCATGGAGCTCATCTCTTCCTGGGTGGGGGACACGAGAGACGCGGCGTCAGGATTTCACTGTCACAGAGACTGGCCCCCGTCAGCCCTGGGCGGGGAGACTTCCTAGCAGGGGCCATCCCCAGCCTGGGTCCTCACGCACTGGGTCGCGGCAGCTCCACGCAGGGAACACCCATCCCGCCCACGAGTCTCTGTGTCTCCTGGGACCCGGCAGAACACGATCAAGGCCAACGCCCGCCCCCCGCCCGGGTCCCTGAGGGCCCACACCCCATGCTTGCCTTACTAAAAAACGAGGAGTCGAAGGTGTCTGCCCCATCGACCGCGTCCTCTTCCAGGGAGCTGGGGTAAGCAAAGCTGCGCTTGACCACCCGGCAGCGCTGGCCCGTGGCTTCCAGCACCGAGCGCCCCTGTGCAGGGGCGGGGGCACGGGCATCAGGACTGGGGTCCAGCACCAGGTCCCCAGCCCTCCAGCACCAAAGGACTCATGCGATGTCTAAGATCTGCCCAGGGAGAGGCAGCCCCCGGGGTGGGGGGTGGAGAGAGGCCAGGACGTGGGCTTTCACCACGGCCTGGGGTCAGCTCTTCCCTGGCAACCTCCCAGCCCTCTGGTGTGGGCAGCTGGCCCAGCGCTCAGAGCAGCACAGGATTCACACCCTCGCTGCCGAGGCTCCAGCCACGTCCTCCTGTCCAATTTCCCGGCACGGCACAGCAGACCCCACCTCCAGCCCCCACGGAAGCCCCCTGCTCCTGCTCTCCACCTCCGGGCTCTGCACAGGCCACTCCCTCTGCTGAGGACGCCTGCCCGTCCTGGTGCACCTGCCTCGTTTTTCTCGGCTCAGCCCCACACCTTTCCTGCTCGGACGGCTGACACCTGCACCTCTGGCCCCGCAGCCCTCCCTCCCCCCATCCCACCCCCACCGCCCGTGCCAGCGTCCACAGGGGCGTGAGTGGCCAGCACACGCCCACTCGCCACCCCCCAGCTCGGGAGCCCCTGCAGAGCGAGAGGCAGGGGAGGACTCCCGAGGGAACTGGCGCTGGGCTTCGGGGTCCCGGCACGTGCTCTGGGCGAGCAAGCAGCCTGGGCCAGGGGCTCACTTTGAGCAGGGCGGCAGCGGCCTGGAAGCTCATGTGGGCCACAGACATCCTCTTGCGCCGGGGCAGGTGGGAGAGGCCGGAGCGCACACTGCTGAAGGAGGTGAGGGACAGCACCCCGGGCGTGAGCGGCGGGTGCGGCGCGTGGGCCCGGTCCACCTCGTCCGGGTGGCGGAAGGCCCGGCCGCGGGCCAGTGGATCCACGATCTGGACGGGACGGAAGCGGTGAGCAGAGCCCCCCCGGGGAAGCCGCCCCCACCCCACCCCCGGGCCGGCGCGCGCCTCCTGGAGCCCACCTTGGGCAGCTTGCAGGGTTTGGGGGACTCGGTGCCCTGGAAGGACGGCACCTCCTGGCTGGGCAGCTCCAGCTCCCTCTGGCAGGAGGCCTTGAGGCGGCCGTAGCGCACGCTGCAGTGGTGCAGGCTGCGGTGCTGCCAGTGCTGCCGCTTGCCCTCCCAGTCGCCGCTTACCCCGAACCACTGGGCTGTGCCCCTGCGGGAGCAGAGGAGGTGGGCGTGTGTGAGGGTGACGGCGCGTGTGCACCGAGTGCGCGTGCGGGGAGGTGATGCCCACGGCACAGGTGGGGAGCAGATCAGCCTTCCAGCCCCCATGGAACCCAAGGACCCGGGGTGCCGGCTGGGAGGGCCCGGCCCCTGGAGCTCTCTCCGCCTCCACCATTGCTGCGCTGGGCAGGGGGACCCGACACCCGCCCGCTCTCGGCTCTCTGCAGGGGCCTGGCCGGGGCAGGGCCGGGCCTCGGGGCGCTCACTTGCGGATGCTCTGGGACAGGGAGGCCTGGCGGCGGAAGCCGGGCCGCTTCTCCGCGCCCTCCTGCCATCGGCCCCGCGGCTCCTGGAGGCTGATGCTCTTCAGGTAGGCTGGGTTCTTGGGCCTCTGCGGGCACAAGGGAAAGAGAGGGCGGCGATGTGCGGGGCCCACACCGCAGGCTGCCTCTGCCTCAGCCCCTGCTGGGAAGAGACTGTCAGTCCACGTTCTAATCGGCCCCTTCCCGAGGTTTCCAGCTCCCCGCCCGCGCCCGCCCGGCCTGCTTCGGTGCCTGGGCGGGCGGTGCCTGGGCGGGCGGCCGGCGCACACAGCTCCCCTTTGTGTGTTCAATGAGCTCTTTATGCGGCCCCAGTCGGTCCTGCGGGCTGGAAGCGGGGAAGCTCTGACACTTCTCGGCCTCCCCCGGGAAGTGGGCGCTGCACGGGCAGCTCTGGGTGACAGCCCAGCCCTCAGACGAGGCAGTGAGCCTGCGCGGCGAACAGCAAACGGCCAGCGCCAGGTGGAGGACAGTACTTCCTGTCTGCCCCTGACCACCACGCCACCCAGCCTGAGTTCAGGGGCCCACTGCAGACCAGGAAGGGGGAGGGGGAGGTGTGAGCTTTCCGAGCAGTGGCTCTGGGGGAAGTGAAACCACCCGAGGGGTGTCGTCTGGGCACACCTGTGGCCAGTGGCGGGGCAGCAGACCCCCAGGCCGGGCCCTCACCTCCGGCAGCATGCTGTCCTGCTCCCCCGGGGGCTGTGTCTCGGGTGGTGGGATGGTGATGGACAGGTTAGGCGGCTTCCGGCTTTGCAGGCGGCTGCTGGACACGGAGGAGAGTCTCCCGCCATTCTCATCAGCAGATGCCATGCTGGGCAGGGGGCTGGAATGAGACAGGGAGAGGTGGCACGACCCCACGGGTGGTGGGTGACTTGTGGCAGGGTAGGCAGCCCCGTCCGAGAACAAATCTGTCTAAAGCTGCTTCAAACCGAACTCTGACACAAAGCCCAGGCCACCTGCCCTTCATTTGCATAGTCTGGGAGGCCCTCAACCTCCCACCCACTCCTGCCACCTCTAGTCTCTGCTTCAGGCAAGAACCAAACCTCCGGGGCCGGCGCTGTGGCATAGCGGGTAAAGCCGCCACCTGCAGTGCCACATCCCATATGGGCCCCTGTTCAAGTCCCAGCTGCTCCACTTCCAATCCAGCTCCCTGCTATGGTCTTGGAAAGCAGTAGAAGATGACCCAGGTCCTTGGGCCCCTGCACCTGCGTGGGAAGAGGCTCCTGGCTTTGGATTGGTGCAGCTCCAGCCGTTGTGGCCATTTGGGGAGTGAACCAGTGATGGAAGACCTCTCTCTTTCTCTGCCTCTCCTCCTCTCCCTGTGTAACTCTTTCAAATAAATAAATAAATCCTAAAAAAAAAAAAAAAAAAAAGAACCAAACCTCCAAAGGCACACAAAGTGGCCAGCATTGTGGCACAGTGGGTGAAGCCGCTGCCTGTGACACTGGTATCCCATACAGGTGCTGAGTTGGGTCCCGGCTGCTCCACTTGCAATCCAGCTCCCTGCTAATGTGCCTGGGAAGGCAGCAACAGATGGCCCAAGTGCGTGGGCCACTGCACCCATGTGGGAGACCTGGATGAACCTCCGGGCTCCTGGCTTTGGCTTGGTCCAGCACTGGCCATCGCAGCCATCTGGGAAGCGAACCAGTGCATGTAAGATCTGTCTCTCCTCTCTCTGTAACTTTGCCTTCAAATAAATAAATTAATTTAAAAAAATTTTTTTAAAAAGGGGGCTAGTATTATGGTATGGTGGGTAAAGCTGCTGCCTACAATGCTGGCCTCCCATATGGGGCTGGCATAAGTCCTGGCTGCCCCACTTCCGGCCATGGCAGCCACTTGGAGAGTGAACCCTTGGAGGGAAGATCTCTCTCTCTCTCTCCTTCCCTCCCTCTCAGTAACTTTGCCTTTCAGATAAATAAATATTTTTAAAGAAAAAATATGATCTAACAAAATTACCTTTAAAGAGATAAAAAAAACAATGAATATGCTTATTTAAAAAAAAAAAAAACAAGCATGAAGCTGAGGAATTCAGAGCTTGAGTGACCTGGCCACTTGGTCAGGGCAGGGCAGCCCCAGGGCCACAGGGGCAGGGGCAGAGTTTGGGGGAGGACGAGGAGAAGGCTCCAGGACGGGCAGGTGCCCTGAGCCACTGAGCAGGTGCCCAGGGCTTGGCTGGGCAGGCGCCTTCTACAGCTCGCAGTGGCCAGGCTATGCAGGGAGCAGTGGCTCCGCCTAACTTCCAGGGAGGAGAGAAATCCAGGAAGCTGGTCCTGTCCCGGGGCCGCCCAGCTCCTTTTTCAAAGATATGTGGAAATGCCACCTACCTGCGGCTTTTCTCTCTCCACAGTGGGAAAGGATTTTTGTTTAAAGGTTTATTTTATTTATTTGAAAGAGTTACGGAGAGAGGTAGAGAGAGAGAGAGAGAGAGAGAGAAAGGTCTTCCATTGGCTGGTTCACTCCCCAAATGGCTGCAATGGCCAGAACTGAGCTGATCTGAAGCCAGGAGCCAGGAGCTTCTTCCAGGTCTCCCACATGGGTGCAGGGACCTAGGGACTTGGGTCATCCTCTACTGCTTTCCCAGGCCATAGCAGAGAGCCAGATGGAAGAGGAGCAGCCAGGACTAGAACCAGTGCCCATATGGAATGCTGGCGTCTCAGGCCAGGGCATTAACCCGCTGCGCCACACCGCCAGCCCCTGGGAAAGTATTTCAACAACAGAAGTGACTTTGGGGCAGCGGCTGGGACAGTGGCGTCCCACAGTGCCTGGCTCAGCTTCCTGTCAGTGCGCACCCCGCGGGCAGCGGGTGATGGCGCAAGCCGTGTGACTCCTGCCCCCGACGTGGGAGACCCAGCGGGGGTTCCTGGCTCCCAGCTTCGGCCTGGCCCAGCGCCAGCTGTTGTGGGCATTTGGAAAGTGAACCAGCAAACGGCGATCTGTCTGTCTCTGTGTCTTTCAAATAAAATGAACTTAAAACATTTTAAAATCTAAAAACTAACACGTCAAGGAAGTGCTGGATGGTCTGGCATCCTCGGTGTCTCGGAAAGGAGGGTGGCGGGGAGTCCTGAGCTCACGGGGGCGGGCCCGAGGCCATTCTCACGGGGGTGCTGGTTATACGAGGAGGGTCCCAGCTGGCTTGGCCTCTGCTCCCTGGCCCCCTGCGTGAGCCTGCCTGTGTGTGCCACCCTCACCATCCTCACCAGACCCCAGTCCCCAGACCCCAGACCCCATGTATAACCCTGTCTCAGACTACGAGCCTCCACAACCAGGAGCCGAAATCACCCTTCTCCCGGCAGTAGCAGCTCCTCCTAGGGGCTGTTCCAGCGACAAAGAGCTACCCGGTGCTCACCACAGAAAGAACTGGCAACAGCCTGCGCCGTGGCATGGCGGGGTAAGCTGCAGCCTGCGACCACGGCTCCCGTACGGGAGCACAGGTTTCATTAGGTCCTGGCTGCTCCGCTTCCGATCAAGCTCCCTGCTAATGCGCCTGGGACGGCCGTGGAAGATGGCCCGAGTCCTTGGGCCCCTGTCCCACTTGTGGGAGACCAGGGTGGGGTTCCTGGTGCCCAGTCCTGGCTGTTGCAGCCACTGGAAAGTGAACAAGCAGGTGGAAGATCTCTCTCTCTCTGTGTCTCTCCCTCTGTCTCTGCACTCTGTCTTTCAAATAAATAAATAAATCCATTTTTAAAAAGACAGGAAAGAGGGGCCGGCGCTGTGGTGCAGTGGGTAAAGCTGCTGCCTGCAGTGCCGGCATCCCATACGGGCACCAGTTCAAGTCCCAGCTGTTCCACTTCCAATCCAGCTCTCTGTTATGGCCTGGGAAAGCAGTGGAGGATGGCCCATGTCCTTGGGCCCCTGCACCCACGTAGGAGACCGGGAAGAAGCTCCTGGATCCTGGCTTCTGGTTGGCACAGCTCAGGTCATTGTGGCCAATTGGGGAGTGAGCCAGTGGATGGAAGACCTCTCTCTCGGCCTCTCTCTCTCTCTACCTCTACCTCTACCTCTACGTCTGCTTCTCTCTCTGTGTAACTCTGACTTTCAAATAAATAAATAAACATTTAAAAAAAGAAAAAAAGGGAAGAGAAACCCCACAGAGGCTCAGAAGTGTACAAGGCAGGCCGTGAACACAGGGCCGCCTCTGCTTCTGCAGGCAACGCATGCACTCACACAGCTCACACACCCGGCCCTGCGTGCGTGTGGCCAGACCGCTCTCCCTGCCGACTGCTGCACACGCCCTCTGCCTTTCTCAGCGATGGCAAAGCTCTCACCGAGCGGCACGCGCCACGGCGTAATTGCTGGCCGCCGGCTGTTCAGGATGCGTCTGGCCGCTGAGGCTCGTACCTGGTGTCGGCACGCACACCTCACCCCTGCCTGCACCGCGTGTGTCTGTTCGAGCACCATTACTCGATGGCGTTTGGGAAGCAGAGCGGCTGGGGAGGGCAGGTGCACCCCGGATTTCAGCAGCTCTGCTGGACAGCCCCGCACAGCCGAGACGGCGGGCACCTGCCTGGGGCTCTTGGCCACTCCGCTCTGACCTCACCAGGGTCATCTTGTTCAGCTCACCTCCAGCTGGGCCCTGAGAACTTCTCTGCCTAAACCCCCAGCTGTTTCCTCTCCTCAACTTCCCAAGGTGCCTGGCACGGGTAGAGCTTCCCCGCCCTCTTTGTTCAAGGCCAGGGACCCCGCACCCACCTCCAACATGGGTGCTGACCCTGGGGGTGCACAGACGGAGGCTGGGGGCGTGCGTGGGGTTAATGTAGGGGTGGGCGGCTGGGCACCGCAGCAGCCACATTCCCTCCACACCTGTCCATCTGCCTCCCTCTCCTCTCACCTGGGGACCACGCCGGCCTCCAACACCCCACCACTGTCACTCCCATGCAGCTGCTGGGGCCACCTGTCTTCCTTTTCAGATTTATGTATTGAACGTCACAGAGACAGAGGCAGAGACAGAGACAGCGAGGCCTTCCACCCGCTGGTTCACTCCCCAAACGGCCCACCCGGCAGGGGCTGGACCTGGCTGAAGCCAAGAGCTTTGTCTGGGTCTCTCACATGGATGCAGGGGCCTAGGCACTTGGGCCGTATTTCCTGCCTCCCAGGCACATTAACAGGAAACTGGATTACAAGTGGAGCAGCTGGGACTCAGACGGGACAGACGCCAGCACTGCAGGGACTCAGACACTGGACCCCCTGCTGTGACCACACTGGACCCCCCCACGTGAGTGCTCTGTTCCCCCTACTGTGTGCCTGCACCCTACTGTGACACTGGACCCCCTACTGTGTGACCGCACTGCTCCCCCTACTGTGGGACTGCACCCCTCTGAGGGGCCACGGGGGGATGGTAATGGGGATGCGAGGGTACAATTAAGGGGAGCACAGCTCCTCCTCCGGGTCAGGAAAAGGTTCTGAGATGGACAAGGTGACCCCTACACCACTGTGAGTGCGCTAAAGGCCGCAGTGGCTTGTGAGGTCCACCCCCAGGAAGCCCTGGGGAAGGGAGCTGGAGCAGGAGCGCTGGCGTCCCACCTCGGGGCCTCCTCTGTCCCACCCCGGGGCCTCCCCTGGCTGTCCCACCCCGGGGCCTCCCTCACGGCAGGGGGCCGCTCTATCCCAGGGCCTCCCCTGGCCGTCCACCCCGGGGCCTCCTCTGGGGCCTCCTCTGCCGTCGCACCCCGGGGCCTCCCTCAAGGCAGGGGGCAGCTCCACCCCAGGGCCTCCCTCAAGTCAGGGGGCCGCTCTATCCCAGGGCTTCCCCTGGCTGTCTCACCCAGGGCCTCCTCTGCCGTCGCCCCTCATGGCAGGGGGCAGCTCCTTCCCAGCCCCTCCCCTGGCAGTCCCACGCTGGGGCCTCCTCTGTCCCACCCCAGGGCCTCCCTGCCCCTCCCCTGGCAGTCCCACGCTGGGGCCTCCTCTGTCCCACCCCAGGGCCTCCCTCACGGCAGGGGCAGCTCCATCCCAGGGCCTCCCCTGGCCATCCCACCCCAGGGCCACCCTCACGGCAGGGGGCAGCTCCATCCCAGGGCCTCCCCTGGCCGTCCCACCCCGGGGCCTCCCTCACGGCAGGGGGCAGCTCCTTCCTAGCCCCTCCCCTGGCTGTCCCACCCCGGGGCCTCCCTCACGGCAGGGGCCACTCCATCCCAGGGCCTCCCCTGAGCCCCCACTGCTCCTGGCACTGACCCACCCCACCCACCGTCCACTCTGCCGCATCCAGTGCTGTACGCCTCCAGCGTGCCAACCCCACAGGAGGCATCAGGAAACCAGACGGGGAACAAGCGGCCGGCACCGCGGGCCCTGGGCACCCAGCTTCCTACCCGCAGAATCTGGGCTCGGCGTGCTGCTCCTGGGCTCGGCGTGCTGCTCCCTGGGCTCGGCGTGCTGCTCCCTGGGCTCGGCGTGCTGCTCCTGGGCCCTGCTGGAGGCCGTTAGAGTGCGTTGTCTCCCCACTCGGTGCAGCTGCTCTGGGCTGCAGCCTCAGCTCGGAGCACTCGGGCTCAGGTCAACCAGGAGCCTCCCTGGCTCTCGGCCTGTAAGGAAGGAAAGGCAGGCTTGAGGGGCAGGCCCACCCTGCATCTTCTCATCTCCCAGCCTCAGTCTCACCATCCACAAAATGGGAACAATCCCACCCCATCAGAGAGGCTAAAGGAGAGGGATTAAAGGCTCCTGGTGGGGGGCTGGCGCTGTGGCCTGCAGCTCTGTCAGGCCACACGGGCACAGGTTCAAGTCCCGGCTGCTCCACTTCCAATCCAGCTCCCTGCTAACGCGCCTGGGGAAGCAGTGGAGAATGGCTCAAGTCCTCGGGCCCCTGCACCTGCATGGGAGACCTGGAAGAAGCTCCTGGCTTCGGCCTGGCCCAGCCCCGGTTGTTGCAACCATTTGGGGAGTGAACCAATGAATGGAAGATGTGTCTTTCTCTCTCTGTGCGTGTGTAAAACTCTGCCTTTCAAATAAATACATAAATCTTTCTTTTAAAAGGTAGAGTTAGAGAGAGGCAGAGGCATAGGTAGAGAGAGAGAGGTCTTCCATCCTCTGGTTCACTCCCCAAGTGGCCTCAATGGCTGGAGCTATGCTTATCCAAAGCCAGGAGCCAGGAGCTTCTTCCAGGTCTCCCATGTGGGTGCAGGGGCCCAAGGACCCGGGCCATCTTCTACTGTTTTCCCAGACCACAGCAGAGAGCTGGATCGGAGATGGAGCAGCTGGGGCTCAAACTGGTGCCCACATGGGATGCCGGCACCACAGGCAGTGGCCTTACCTGCTATATCACAGCACAGGCCCCTATATAAATCTTAAAAAAAGGGGGGGGGGCTCCCAGTAGTGTTGAGCTGAGCACCTCTGGGTGCCAGGCAGCCAGGGGCAATGGCTCTTGGGGTGGGCGCTGGCTTAATGGCTAAGACCCCAGGTCCTGTATCCATCCCACACTGGAGTGCCTGGGTTCAAGTCCCAGCTCCAATCCCGACTCTGGGAGGCAGCAGCGATGGCTCACGTCATTGGGTCCCTGCCACCCAGAGTGAGCTCCTGGCTCCTGGCCTGGGCCTCAGCCCAACCCTGCCCACTAGGGGCATTTGAGGAATAAACCAGCAGACCCGAGTTCTGTCTCTAGTTAAAAAAAAAATTAAAAACACCACTGTTGGGGCCAACAGGGCAGTCAGATGGCCCCGTGTTTCCATTTGTTTTGATGTTACTTAATGGATGCGTTTAAGAGTCCAGGAACCGCTGGCTGTCCTCCGATTAGGATTTGTTTTTGCCTGGACCCCCATCAGCCTGATAACTAAGGCAATGTTCAAGGGATCAGGAAGTGTCTGGTTTTCGTTAACAATCCGTCAGGGATGTGAAATGAGCCACTTGTCAGTGAGCTGGGTTAGTAAGTCCTGCAGCTGGGCTCAGAGAGGCGGTGTGGCCTGCAGTGGGCCCCCCAGGGAGGGCCCCAGGGCCTTCGTCTTGCACTAGGCCGGCCTCAGGCCCCTGCCGGCACCGCCCTGCTGGGTCCTCAGCACCCTTGGAGGGAACAAGATACGACCACTTTCGCTCTGGAAGGAACGGAGGCTCAGAGGGGCTCAGCAGCTGCCCAAGCTCACACAGCCAGGAAGGGGTCTTGAGGTCTCTCAAGCTGGGGTGCACCTGTGGCTGGAACCCCTCTCCAGGGGCCTGAGCCGAGGGCCCAGCGCTCATCAGAGGCCCGGGGCTGCCGTGGGGTTAGGGTCAGTTCAGACCCCTCTGACGCCACTGGGCTCTGCCATTTACGCTCTGCACACTGGGATCTGGGTTTTGGTTGTCAGAGCCCCCCTGCCCCCCGGGAGCAGGGTGTTGGGTGAGGAGGGGCTGCCTTAGACTGGTCTCGAGGCAAAGCCCCGGGCCCAGGACATTCCTGCTACTTGAAGGCTACACCGGGCCCACGCTGTGACACACAGGATTACAGCACTGCCTGCAACGCGAACCGAGTCCCGGCTGCTCCACTTCCGATCCAGCTCCCTGCTGGTGCACCTGGGGAGGCAGTGCAAGCCGGCCCCAGTGCTTGGCCCCTGCACCCACCTGGGAGACCCAGATGGAGTTGCAGGTTCTTGGCTCCAGCCTGGCTCAGTCGCAGCCGTTGTGGCCATTTGGGCGTGAGCCTGCAGAAAATCTCCCTAAATTGTGCCCTTCAAATAAATTAATCAGGAAAAAAAATTCTCGACTAACAACCTTGGCTTTTCTCCATCTGTCCCAAAGGGCAGGGAGTATTCTTTACTATTTTAAGATTTACTTATTTATTGGAAAGGCAGAGTTATGCAGAGAGAGAGGGAGATACACAGAGAGAGAGATCTTCCGCCTGCTGGCGCACTCCCCACATGGCTCAGACGGCCAGGGCTGGGCCAGGCTGAAGCCAGGAGCTTCAATCAGGTCTCCCATGTGGGCAGCAGGGGCCCAAGTAGCGGGGCCACTCTGCTGCTTTCCCAGGCCATGAGCAGGAGCTGGATTAGAAGTGGAGCAGCCGTGACACAAACCAGCACTGGTGGCGGCTTTACCCAGCACGTCATGACGCCAGCCCCAGGCCCACATTCCCAGCCACGCACGACAAGGCCCACCAAGACCACAGGCAGACGCCCGGCTGGCTCCACAGAGCCCCGGCAGCCGCTGGAGGATGCCACCCGGGGACAGCTCCAAGACAACAGCTTCACCAGAGGCCTCTGCAGGGGAACTGCCCGGCCCGGCCTCCTTTGGGACCAGGATGCAGGAGAGGGCACTGCCCCAGGAAACTGTCGCCGCGGGAGGGGGAGGAGGCAGAGGAAGGCTGGGGTGGGACCACACCGCAGCTCAGTGATCCAGGCAGACAGGATCCTGGAGCTGGCCACAGCTGCCCGGAGTCAGCACTGCAGGATGGCTGGGGCGGGACCACACTGCAGCGCAGCGATCCAGGCAGACAGGATCCTGGAGCTGACCACAGCTGCCCGGAGTCAGCACTGCAGGTCTGCCCCCGCCTGGCTCCCCCTGGCTGCTTCGGGAAGCCCGCCTGTCATCACCAGAGTCGGTCCCTGTGTCCCTGGCTCTCTCACGGCACCTGCGGTCTGCCTCCATGTGGGTGAACCCCACCTGACCTTGGGCAGCACAGGGCCGGGCATCGGGCAAGCCTCCATCAGTGGCTAGAGGCCGGGAGGCTGGGGTGTGCGAGTGGGTGTGGCCGGGCTGCTCACCCCACGTCCTCCTGGACAGGAGCCGTCTCCCCTAATTCTGCAGCCAGTCCAGGAAGCAGCAGCCCCCAGAGGTCTCTACGAAGAGCTGCCTGCTCTGCCCCTGAGCCCACTGCAGAGCCTGGGTGTGGGATGCTGGGTGCGGTCCCCTAGCACAGCCTGCGCCCCCCCCCCAGGTCTTTGGGCGCCATCAGCACTCCCTTAGGCACTGAGGAACTGCCAGTCAACCCCCCCATTCTAAGGCGGTACCACTCCAGCTGGGGCCTTGGCATTTGTGCCAATCTCCTGGTGGGAGGGGCAGAGGACAGGGGAGACTGGACCAGCCCCAGGCAATCCTGGGGGTCACAAAGAGGGGCTGTCTCCAGAGGGTTTGAGGCAGGGCTGGGGAGCGGGCACATTTGCCCAGGACAGCCGTCCCCACCACCTTCACGGGCAGCAGTCCTGGTGACGGCCTGCGAGCAGCTGCACCCTCAGGCCTCGGTCAGACCCCAGGAAGCCACCGCTCTCCCCAGCCCGTCTCGGTCAGACCCCAGGAAGCCACCGCTCTCCCCAGCCCGTCTCGGTCAGACCCCAGGAAGCCACCGCTCTCCCCAGCCCGTCTCGGTCCAAGACTGCCTCCCCCGGCTGTTGCAGAAGTGGGTAGGCCTGAAGCCAGCCCCTTCCTCAGGGCTCGGTGTGTGTGGGGGTGGTGGCAGGTGTGGGGCCTGCAGACCCACCCTGGGCTCCACTGCCGCCCTCACCCAGGAGAGGAGGAGCACCGATGGCTCAGGCCAGGCGGAAGAGGGCGCCGGGGCTGCCTGCCCAGTCTAACCCAGCCCAGGAGCACTTGCTCACCACTCAGTAAACTGTGACATCCTGGCCCCAGCCTTCCTCCCGCTGGCCACAAAGGCACCCACTGCTCCCTCCAGCCTCACAGGCAGCCAGGGGGTGGAGGTGAGAGGTCTGAAGGCCGCCCCCAGGAGGCGGGGCCACAGCCACCTGCTCAGGCTGGAGACTCCCAAAGGGCCCATGGGAGGGGGTTGGGGTGGGGGCCTGAGAAAAGGTGAGGGTGGAGTCCAGACCACCGAGGTGCCCCTGGGTTGGGGCGTCTGTACCCCACCCTGCCCCACTGTGGATGGGACGGTCTAGGCCAGGCGTCAGCCACGCAGGCTCAGAACCACTGCCAGGCTGCCTGGAAATCGGGTTTCCCGAGGGTGGGGCTGAGCACTCCAACCAAAGGGATCTGTTCCAGCCAGGGTCAGCAAGGCTGGCCCAGGGGAGGCCCCCACGACAGACCACTGTGGCCAGTCCAGGTGGGGGCCGCAGGGCGCCCCACCCAGCGCTGGCCTCCCAACTGCCCCAGGCGCGGTTCTACCTGTATCCAGGGATCTGGCTCCAGTCCCCTTCCCCCTCTCCACCTGCCGCCAACGGCTCCCACACCAGCAGCTCTCCGGAGGGAGGCTGGGAGGGGCCCTCGCGGGAGGAAAGAGGGGGCCCACTACCAACCGCTGGGTGTGACCAGGAAGTCCGGGGCCTCCCGTGGGAAGGAGCCCAACCAGCTGTGCGGAGGGCGGGAAGAAACCACCACCTGGCCCGGCCACCCCCAGCCCGGCCCGTCTGGCAGCCGTGGGCGTCCGGGGAGCAGGCAGCGAGGAGAGAAGGGGCTGGGCTGAATCACAGGATGACAGGGTGAGGGCCGGGGGCGCCGCCGCCGCTGCAGCCCCAGAAACCGAAACTCATCCTCCCGCTCAAGGCCCTGCTGGGAACTGGGGCATTTTTAGAAAGTCGCAAAGAGGAAGCTGGGCCCGTGCCGGCCCGCTGTGCAACGCGGTTCTGCTGACCGCCGGGAACCCGGGGACGTGGAGGATGGCTCCTGGAGCCCTGGCCCCCCGCACAGGGCATGGGATGGAGCAGAGCGCGTGGGGCGGTATTTGGAAGTCAGGAGAGGAAAGCGGGCACAGAGAATGGCGATTTGCCTGAGCGTGACCATGGACACCAGCGTTAGGGCAGGTGGAGGGGCACGGGCAGTCATGGTGGGAAACCCGGCTCTGCCAGCCCAGAACCCAGCCAGGAGCGAGCTCCCGGCCCCCACTTCCCCAGAGGGGCCAGGAGCGGGGGTGCGCACCTCACCGGCACACACGCTTCGGGCTGGCAGCTGGAAGGGCCAAGGGTTTGCGCCCCCGAGGCGCCTCGACCACACGGCCTTGCCTTCTTTCTCCCTCTCCCCAGTCTTGCTCCAAACTCAGATCCAATGATACATGACGGCAGGGGCAGCTGCGGGGCTTGGCCACCCGCCAACTTCTCCCCGTCGGACCCCGGGCTCCCCTCAACCCAGCTCGGGCGGCTTGGGTGTCATGGGCAAGCAGGGCTGAGAGCGTGAGCCTGCGCGCCTCCAGGCGGCGGCCCAGTTCCTGGAGCGGTGCAGACCCCCCACCCCTCTGCCCATCCATTTCTAAAGATCCCCTCGCCCCTGGGGTTGGCAGAGACGTGAAGGACCCCTCTCCAAGCACCAGAAGTGGGCTGCAGGCGCCCGAGCCTGGGGTCCTGGAAGCTTAGGTTGCAGCTGGCAACAGACAGGGGCAGGTGTCACGGGAGTACAGCTGGGCCCCCAGCCGGGCACAGTGCTGGGGCCCACCCACCCTGGCACCTTCAGGACCCCCCTGGGAACCTGTGGACTCCAGCGGCTGCTGGTGGAGACAGGCGTCCGGCTGGCAGCAAAGCCGGGACGCAGGTGACCGGGGCGGAACCTGGGACGGGACCTTCCACACCCCTGGCGGCAGCAGCTCTGAGCGCCTACAGGCTCAACTGCAGGACTGGTGGACAACGGAGAAAGAAGCTGAGTTCTCACAGGACCCGAGGCAGCCATGGCCGGCGCTGCTCAGGGCTGGTGGGCAGCAGTGCGCGCCCCTGCACTCCACTGGGGGCTTCCTGCCGCCACCCCACGTACATAGGAGAGCTCCGTCTTGGGCTTGCAGCGAGAGCTCACCCACTTCCCACCCCTTTCCCCCATGATCTGGCTCCAATGAAAACGCTGCCTGGTGTGGGAGACAGATGAGGGGCCCAGCCCCAGCCGCCGCGCAATCCCGGGCAGGCCACTTGGTCCCTGGCCGTCGGCTTATTTATACTTAAGGTGCTGGAACCCTCCCTGTGGTCTGAGAAGCCGAGTGGCTTCGTACCCCTCACCAGGGCTCACCCCACAAGCGTGCTCAGCTAAGGAACCAAGTCTCACCCTGTCCCACGAAGCACACGCACCCTGCCCAGCACTGCCCGGCCACACACAGGCCCAGGAAGCTGGCCTCACCTCAACACGCTGGACACTGGGGCCAGCTCTGCTCCTGTCTGTGGCAGCCCCTTGGCAGGCGGGCAGGGAAAGCCAGGCAAACACTTTTGGGCTTGTAAACATTCATTAAGGAGCTAATAAACCTGATCTCCCAGAACCTTGCCCTGGGGCTCTCGGCTTCCCGGGAAGAGGCTGGCCCCAGCCCTGGTGGCTGCAGCACTTCAGGGTACTTGGACATGGGCCCAGCGGGCTTGCGAAGCCACCTGCTCGCTGCCCCTGCCCACCCGCCGGCAGCTAGGCGATGCCTCGCGGAGCAACGGGAGCTAGACTCAAACCTGGCCAAGCCGCCTGCCTCGGTGACACTGGGCTCACCACTACTACCGAGCCTGCTTCCTCTGCTGCCCACCGGGCAACGCCCTGGCACCGAGGGAGCCAGCAAAGATGGCACGAGGTGACGAACCCGCAGCGCCTGGCATGCAGTCCACAGCCGGCTTCTGGCTGAGCTCGGCCCCCACCGCTCACTCGGTCTCTGCATCCGGGCCACGAGGCCCAGACAGGTTAAGTCACCTGCGAAAGGCCTCACAGTCCAGCCCTGGCCATGTCCCCCCTGCAGCCTCGTGACACCCAGGGACTGGACAGGCTAGAGGGGGCGGCGCCGAGCGCTGGGGCTGAGCAGTGGCTCCCGAACCCCACCGGACCCCCAAGCACAGTGTGCACACCTATCTTGGGGAGCACTTCTCAGCTGACACTGGCCTGGCAAACGCCGTCTCACCGAGGGCGAGAGGCAGCTGTCACGACACTCAAGGCTGAGAAAGCCCCCGGGGTTCAGGCCCAGAGCTTCAGTTCCGGTCCTGCTCCTGCCCCCAACCCCACACTGAGACGAGGGCCTGGGGAGAGCCAGGGGAGGGGGGAAAGGCACTTCCTCTGCCAGGGACCTGCGGCAGGAAGCCCTCCCTGGCCCACCCGCAAGGCTGCTGCACAGGCCAGGAACACAGCCGGGAGGCAGAGACGAAATCCAGGGTTCTGAAGGTTACCTACTCCCGGCCCCAGGAGCACAGCGGAGGGCCACGGCCTCCATGAGCCCTCCGCCCCTCCCCGCCCCACGCAGAGCCTCCACGTCACGCGCCCAGCGGCCTGGGAACGCCCCTGCACAGGAGTCCCAGTTTATGCCTGGATGGAAACCCACCCTCGCTGCCCCTGGCCACCAAGGCACGGAGGATCTCAGCCCCACGGCCGCCCCGCTCTCCTCCAGCCCGCGACAGCCCATCGGGTGGGGCTTCTGCCATTGCCGAGTCTGTGCCCGGGCCCCGGCCACACTCCGACAGGGACACCTCCCCTCACCGTGCTCCCGCCACGGCAGCCTCCCTGGCCCACTACTGCCGCCCCATTGTGCAGCTGGGAAAACCAAGGAAAAGGCCGCTGAAACGCCCCGCATCCCACTGCACGTGCTCCCGTAAACCCTGTGCCTGGGACTTGTTTCTGGGCTCCTCCCCGAACCCGAGACCAGCCCCCTCGCTCTGGGTCAGCGGCCCTGATCAGCTGTCCCCCTGCACTGTCCACCTGCTGCCCCCACCTTCCCCATGGGGTCGGGCAGCCCTGGGGCTGGCACTGCTGTCCAGTGGTGTTTGAATCACAACCCACTCGTGTCTGGACCCCGGGTGATTGTAATGAGAGAGCCCATCTCTCCTCCATCGGCGGCTGAGACGCAGGCAGGGTGCCTAGACGCAGCCCCGGGAAAGCCACCATCCCTCCCGGTGCCGACGAGGCCGTGGCCAGTCCCAGGCCCGCTGCTGCGCCAGCCGGGCTGCCGCCCTGCCACTCCCCCTGCCTGGCTCAGCTGGGAAACTGGAGCCACTTCCGATGTGATGCGTGAGCTCACCCTGGAAACTCCCGCGGGCGGCGGGGACGCTGGGGCCTGCTCCAGACGCCCGGGGGAGGGGGGCTCGCAGAGGGAGACACAGCCTGGGAGCCAGCCAGTCTCCCCAGGGGCACCAGGGGCAGGCCCAAAGGAAACACCAGGTTGCTCACCCAAGTCACTGGCACAGGAGCCGGCCTTGGCCACGTACACGTGTGTGTGCACGTGCTGCCCTGACCCAGACCTTGTCCTGGAGAATTTACATGACAAGCAGGACGGGGACCCTGGCAGAGGGCTGCAGTGGTGTCCAGAACACAGGTCAGGGAACCCCAGCCAGGCCCAGGCCCCCCGTGCACCTGCGGCCCCCGCGCACCTGCAGTGTGGTGTGTTCCTCCTCCCGCAGGGACAGAAGCCCCCTTCCCGGGCAGGAGAGGGAGTGTGGGCTTTTCCACCAGGCACAGCTGCGGCTCAGGAACCAACAGGCCAGCAAAGAGTCACTGTCTGGTCTCTCTAGCAGGCTTGGGGTCGGCAGCCAGGGTTCAAACCTGGGCACCGCCGCAAACCAGCAGCTCTGAGCAGACCGGAGGGCTCGGCCTGTGCCTGGAGAAGACAGTGGCAGCCAGGGCCGCTAACCCTGCTCTGTTCAGCGGGCGAGGTGAGTCTCACCCCAGCCTTTCACCGCCAGCACAGCCGGCCAGCCATCCAGAGACCCCCGCCTGCCCTCTTCCCGCACCAGGCTTCCCAGGCAAGGAGCTGTGTGTGTGTGGAAGTGAACGGGACAGGGGCTGGGGACACCAGCGTCCCTTATGAGAGCACAGGTTCGAGTCCCGGCTGTTCCAGTTCCTATCACACTCCGGGCTAATGCACCTGGGAAAGCAGCGGGTGATGGCCCAAGTGCTTGGGACCCTGCACCACGTGGGGGACCCGGATGAAGCTCCTGGCTCCTGGCTCTGGCCTGGCCTAGCTCCAGCCTTTTGGAGAGTGAATCAGCAGACAGAAGAGCTCTCTCTCTCCATCTCTCCCTGTCACTCTGCTCTCCAAGTAGATACAGCATTTTTTTTTTTTTTAAGTAAGAACAGGACAGGAGTAACAGATCCTGTAGGAAAGTGGGGAGGGAGGGCCGGGAGGTAGCTGCCCCCTCCTGGTTCCCAGGAAACTGACAGCACATTCCTAGAGCCCAATTTGAATGACTGCAGCTCTGACAGTCCTCCCACTGTCACCTCTGCCCGGCTAAACGCCAGGGGCGGGGGAGCCTCACTCCTCCAGCAGCGGGTACCACGCTGGGCCTCAGCCAAGCAGGGTTCCCACGGCCGCACGGAGGGAAGACGGGGGGCCGCAAGGAGTCAGGGGCCCTGACACCGCTCGGAGGTTGCTTCCAAGGTGTAAAATACCAGGATAGCTCCGTGTCTGATCGGAGGAAAATTCCAGATCACGTGGCAGGAGGCATCCGCACCGGCCTCGGCCACCCGGCCGGGAGGGAATCTATGGGGCAGAACTCAGCCCTGCCCCTCCTCCACTCCCAGGGATATTTGAGCTCCAGGCTGCCTGCACTGCCCTACACAGGAAGCCGTCCTTGGGACCAAGGACTCCAGCCTGAGCGGGGCCAGGGCCCCTGCTCCAGCCCCTCCTCCACGGCACCAGACCCAGTGCCTGGTGGGACCAGGACTCCAGCCTGGGTGAAGCCAGGACCCCTGTTCCAGCCCCTCCTCCACGGCACCCGGACCCAATGCCTGGAGGGACCCGGACTCCAGGCTGAGCGGGGCCAGGGCCCCTGCTCCAGCCCCTCCTCCACGGCACCCGGACCCACTGCCTGGTGGGACCAGGACTCCAGCCTGAGCAGAACCAGGGCCCCTGCTCCAGCCCCTCCTCCACGGCACCCGGACCCGCTGCCTGGTGGGACCAGGACTCCAGCCTGGGTGAAGCCAGGGCCCCTGCTCCAGCCCCTCCTCCACGGCACCCGGACCCGCTGCCTGGTGGGACCCGGACGGCTCAGGCCCCGTGGAGGACTCTCGCCAGGGCAGCAGCCGCCTTCGCACCTCCTCATGCCCAGCTCAGTTGGGTTTATTCCCGAGTTCCTCCCCTAACTACTGGGGAGACCCAGGCAGGGAGGACGAACAGGTGGAGAGCGACTCGGTGGTGACGGCCCAGGCTGGCTAATTCCCGGGGGTCTGTCCCGCGCAGCGGCTGGGTGCGTGGCAGCGCCCCCGGCCTCCGCCC